GCAGTAATTACTTGAAATTGTGTGAGCAGTAATAGCCCATTCAGGGCTGAGTTGGCTGTTCCTGGTGACACATTTGTTGCGATGTGTCACATGGCTCCTGTGCTGGGTGTCCCAAATCCCTGTGCCGGGTCAGTCCATGCTTGCTGTGAGCATTGCAAGGCTGTAGTGCATTGTGGAATCATTCCGTTTGGAAAGCCCTCTAAGATGGACTCCAGCCATTCCCCAGCACTGCCAGTGCCACCATTTAGCCATGTCCCCAAGAGCCACATCCACAGGGTTTTAAATCCCTGCAGGGATGGGGACTCCACCACCTCCCTCAGCAGCTCCTTCCAGTGCCTGACCACCATTTCCATGAAGAAATCCCTCCTGATGTCCAACTTGAACCTCCCCTGGCACATTTTTAGGCTGTTTCCCCTTGTCCTCTCCCTGTTCCCTGGGAGCAGAGCCCGATCCCTCCCAGCTGTCCCCTCCTGTCAGGGAGTTGTGCAGAGCCACAAGGTTCCTCCTGAGCCTCCTTTTCTCCAGGCTGAGCCCCTTTCCAGCTCCCTCAGCCTCTCCTGGGGCTCCATTCCCTTCCCCAGCTCTTCAATGTCATTGTGAGGACCAAGGCTGCCAATGGAAATGGGTGTTGTCTGTGAGCAGCACTTGCTCAGGTGCACCCCATAATCCATGTTGAACTGTTCCTGGGTTTGGGGAAGCAGCTGCTGTAGCTGCCCTGGGAAGGAGAGCCTGTTGTGCAGCTCTTCTGCTGCTGAATCATTCCAAGGGCTCTCAGTCCAGACTCCGATGCTCCCAGGGTGTAGTGCTGCCCTGTGGCGGGGCTGACGGGTGGCTGTGGGATGTGGTGTGGTGGAACCCGCAGCAGGCTGGCCTGGAGCTCTGCCAGCAGTGAGGCAGGAATTATCCATGGGAGGGGGGAGCCTACCCTGACCCCCAGCATGGATCCCACCAGCACAGCGAGGAATCTGCTGGCTGGATGTGGCAGGCTGTGCCCTTTCCAGACCTGCTTTCCTGTCAGCAGAGGACAAATAAAAACCTTGGAAGCACATGGAGGGGAAAAAGGAAACCAGGAGCTGTTTGTGCCGCTGTCCTCTCCCCACACGTGCAGGTGGAATTTCCTCTGGGTCAGTTTGAGCCTCTCCCTATACAGGGGATGCTGCTGTTCAGTGGCATCTCCTGGCTTTCCCTGGGCACGAGGAGGGGCCCTGGAGGGATTGTGGAGCTTGAGGGACTTGTGCAGTAACAGGCAGTCATGAGTTCAGTATTCAGGTACCCCTTGCACAAGTGCAGTAGCTCTCTGCTCCTCATGGAATTCCATGAGCTCCTAAAAATCCCATTTTTCCTTGCAACTCCTTCATTGGGGTTCAAGCAATTTCTTCTGGAGTTCACATCCCAGCTCCAGCAGATTGATCACACACAAGGCAGGTGCACCCATCCCAGTGGAGCAGCTCTGAAGCTGGGAGAAGCTGATCCTTTCATTTTCCTGCTTGGATAGGAGGTGTGTAGCTACACAGGGCCTTCCTTAGTGCCCATCTCTGGCAGCTGGCCTGTGCTCCACACCGTGTTCCCACAGATCCATACCTTTGACATCACCTCGGCAGGGTCAGCAAAACTTGGAGCTCATTGGGAAGGAACTACTGGTGCCTGTCCATCATTCCCATCATTAATGTCTCACTCATGCTCAGCCCCAGTGCAGCTGTAATTAACACAGACACTAATTTAATTACCCAGCCATGCCAGTGCCTCCACCTCAGCATTCCTGTCTGTTGCAGACTTGGAAACTTCTGAAATCCACTGAGTAGTGAGTAGATTTTAACTCATGTCCCAGCAAAGCATGAGCAAAATGGTTGAAAACCATGGATGCATTTTCCAACCAAATTGTGAATTATTTTCTCTGCTCTTCCTTTTCCTCCTATCTCCCAAGGTGGGTTGCTTCTGTGGCAGTCCTTCATGCTCTTCCCTCACCTCTATAGCAGCTGCACCATTCTCCAGCTGGGAGGTTTCTAAAAGCCAAAAACCACATTTCAGACAGTTCGTCACCACCATATGAGGGAAATTTGGGATCGGCCCAGCCTGGAGCTGCCTGGTGGCTTGCTCAGAGTGGTGAGGGACAGGTGGGAGCTGCTCTGGCAGTGTGTTCCAATCCCACTGTGCACAGAGTCATCTCTGCCACGTGCTTGGGAGAACAGAGGACAGCAAACCAAGTCCTTTTGTTAAGGAAATGCGTTCATTTTTAGGACAGGGTTTACTCGGGGCTTTGTTTTGGCACTGCCTGACCTGTGCAGTCTCTGCAGCCAGGGGTGTCCCCCATAGAGCAATGAGCAGCTGCATTCCCACCTTGTTCCCAGTCCCAGCAGTGCAGGGGTGGCATGAAGCTCTCCTGAGATTCTCTGTGTGATGAATAGTGAAAAATACCCTTAAGGCTTCAGGGAAAACTTGCACGTCAGAGAGGTGACGTGGGTTCCTCCTGGGCCAGGTCACTGGGCTTTTCCCACTTGGGTTACTGCAGCCTCCTGGGTAACCTGGAGGCACCACATCCCTGCTGGCTCAGGGCAGGATCCTCCCTCCCCCTGCTGTCCTTTCTCTGTCCTGTTCCCAACACCCTCTGGGGATGTGGGATCCAAGGAGAGATCCCATCGTGGGTGCTCCAGTGAGGCCAGTCTGCCAGAACAGGGTGATGAAACCTTGTGGGTCCCCACCTGCCTGCTCTGAGACAGGGTTACCAAAGGTTTGGGATAAAATGGAGTTGTAGGCCAGACTCTTTCTCCTGAGCTGGCAGGAGACTCAGGAAGCCCCAGCATGGATTTGGTAGTCCCAGATGTTTGCCCAACCTCCTCCCAAAACCTCCAGCTGAGGAACAACATCTCCTCCTCTTCCTCGGTCCAATTGACCAAACACTCCATTTTTTTCCTAGTTTGTACTGCTTTTTCAAGGCAGCCCTTCACACACAGCAGGTTATCCTGTCCTTTTCCAGACTAAACAAACCCTCCTTCAACCTCTCGTGGCGTTTTGCTCATTTTATCAGTCTTGCTGCTGCATTCCAGACTCATTCCATGCCAGCATCACTTTCTAGGAAGGAATAATCTTGCCTACAAGGCTGCCCTTGGAAGATGCTTTCCCTTTCCTGCTGGATCTTGCACCACTTTTAGGACCTTTTTTCCATCTGGTTGCTGCCTCTCTAGCTGTTTCGTACCAGAGCTCTGAAATCTTCCTCCCTAAAACACAAACTTCCTTTGAACATCACATCTGGACCAAGACAGATCACCAAAACTGGGAAACATCAGCTCCACAGGGTTGGGAAAGCATCTGCAGAAGTTTGTTGAGCTCTTTATGCAAAGCCAAAAATCAGGGGCAGGAGGGATGAGCTCGTGCAGGTAACTGCAGGAGATTCCTCTGTTACATCCATTTCCAGCAGAAGGCTGATTTGAGGAATAGTAAATGAGTATTGCATCCCATGGACAATAATTAATCCCAAAACCTTGTGTTTCTCCCACTGCTTCCCGGTAGCAGTGACCTCTCACAATGAACCAGCAGCCTCCTGCCCCATTCCTGTTGATAGCTCATCCCTGAGGAGGCAGGAATGACCTGAACAAGATCTTTGAAAAGGACTTTATCCACCAATTTCAGCCTAAAATCACCCCAAAAAATGTGCTGGGGATGGAGGAGCCGCAAGCACCGGTGACAAATGACAGCCAGGCAGGAGCTGCACTGAAAGCAAAGCTGGAGAAATCGGAGGAGAAGGATTCTTCTGGCTTTGCATCATCTCAGCCCAACCACATCTATTTTTGCTGTAGGCATGGCATTGAGCACCCGTCACCGCTATTCCTACTCCATCCATCTCTGTATGCCAGGGAAGACTGGCAGTGGGATGGAGCAGCAGGAGGAGTGGTGGTTTAGGTGTCCTTAATTGCCTTAAAATCTGGGGAATTCAGATTCCTGCCCTTCACCCCCCAGCACAGGAAGGGACACCTGGCCCTGGACACAGTGCTCCGTTCCAAGAGCACAAGGCCACTTGTCACCCACCCAGCCAGGATTATTTTACCTTATTTCTGTCTCCAATCATGTCCTCGATGTGCTTCCACAAGGATTATGCTTTTATTCTCAAAAGGAGAGAGAAAAATGTCAGTTAACCTGCAGGCAGATGGTGACACTAGCTCCTGGTGATCTGAGGACACCCTTGAGCAGAGCCCCAGAGGCTGCAGGAGCCATCTAAGAGTGGGCAGAGAACGTGCACAGCTCATGGCTGGAGTGGCTGGCACCGGCTCGGCATCTCCTGGAGCTTTTCCGACAATGGGATCACACACAGTGATGGATGGTTGGCTCTGGCTTGGGAAGGGTTCACACACTCTTGTTTTCAAAAAAGAAGCATTGTAAAAAAATTATTAGCAATATTATTGATCGTGTTTGTGTGTTTGTTTTAATTGTATTAAGTAATTATGTAGATAAATATATAAATATGTGTTTCTTATCTTTGGTTCCTGAGCAAAACGGTTTTCTTCTCCCTGAAGGAACTCCTGAAGGGTTGGGGGTGCTGGGCTGTGGTTTCCAGGGCAAAGGGGTGGAAAGGGAGTGGGGTGGTGTGTTCAGGCCAGAGGGAGGGACTGGGGTACGGCAGAGGGCTCGGGGGCGGTGACAGGGTGCGGGGTTTAGGGGAATGGCGTTCACGGGTTCCAGGGCAGAGCGGCTGGAGGTGCGGGGTGGCGGGGGTTCGGGTCGGAGGGGTCTGGCTGCTGGGCTGCGGTGGGTTCCCGTACGGCAGGGCGGGGCTCAGCGCCGGGCCCCCCAGCCCATCCCGTCCCCGCGGGGGTCTGGCGGCTCCACCTGCCCCCCCGCGGGGCGGCCCCGGGGCCGGGCCGGGCCGGGCTCCGCCCGCCGCTCTCGGAGGCTCCGCCGGGCCGGGGCCGGTGGCGCAGAGCGGGACCCTCCCGAGCCCGCGTCCGTCCCGCTCCCGGGAGGGGAGGAGCCGGGGGGCTCCCGGGGAGGAGCCCGGGGGGCTCCCGATGAGGCGCCGGAGGATGAACCAGCTGTACATCGGCAACCTCAGCCCCGCCGCCACCGCCCAGGACCTCCGGCAGCTCTTCGGGGAGCGGCAGCTGCCCCTGCCCGGCCAGGTCCTCCTCAAGTCCGGCTACGCCTTCGTGGACTACCCGGACCAAAACTGGGCCATCCGGGCCATCGAGACCCTCTCGGGTGAGCGACCCCCCCCCGCGCCCCCCGCATCCCCCCCGCGACCCCCTCATCACCCCCCCCGCCGCCCCCTCCCCGGGCATCTCCCGGTCCCCCCTTCCCTCCCTCCTTTCCCTCCTTCCCTCCCTCCTCCCGCCCCGGCTCTTCCCGACCTCGCCTCTATTTTTCGCTGATTTTTTTCTCCGATTTTATTGGGAGCCCCCGGGGCGCGGCGCCCCCCGCCCCGCCGCCCCGCCGCCCCCCGCGGCCCCCCGGGGACCCGATTACGAGGTGCCCAGCCCCAACTCCCCGGGGGCGCCGAGCGGGGGGGACCGGGGGGCCGGGGGGTGCGGGGAGCGCGGGGACAGCCCGGGAGGGCCGGGGGCTTGGGATGCGGTGGGATCCGATGGGGTGGGATGGGGTGAGACGGGATTTGGCGGGGGGATGCTGCTCTGCCCCATCCCGGGGGGGATGCTGAGCGCCCCGCTGTCTCCGCAGGGAAAGTGGAGCTGCACGGCAAAGTGATGGAAGTGGATTATTCCGTGCCCAAAAAGCTCAGGTAACCCCGCGCTGTCCCCCCGGGCTGCCCCCGGTGCCCGTGTCCATCCCAGCGGGACGGGGGGCGCGCCGGGCGCTCCGGGATGCGGGGCGCGGGGGGGGCGGGGGAGCCCCGTCGGTTTTACTTTCGCTCCGGAGCGCAGCGCGGGGAGGAGGAAGGAGCTACCGGCCCACGGCCGCGTTCCCACGGGTGGGCACCCCCGTGGTGCCCCCTCACCCCACGCTGCCCACCGCTCCCAGGGAAAACAGCCGCTTATTTAGCAGGAAAACACGAGAAATCCCCTTTCCTCCCACTTTCCGCGGCGCGGACGGAGGTTTTCCCAGCAGCGCAACCACCCGCACCATTAGGCTGATTATTTTTAGTGGGTAATTAATCAATTTTCCCTCTGCAAACACCTCACCCCCCCCCTTTATCCAGCCGGAGAACCCCAAACCCCGAAGCGTTTTCTATTTAATGCGTGGCGGCGAGCGCGCCCTCTCATTTCCATCAGGTGCCCGAGGCCGGGCTGACGGGCACACGCGTTCCGCAGGGAAAACAAACCCCGGCACCGTGTGGCGTAGCCTCATCCCGAGCTTTATCCCCCCGTCATGTGTCGGGATAAAAGGGAACAAAAAAAAAAAAACCCCATGGGCTGCTCGGGGCGGGTAATTCGGCGCCGCTTGGCGCGGAGGCTCGGCCTGGGCTGGGCGGTGGGCACGGCTTTGGGCCGGGGCTGCCGCCGGGGTACGAATTTGGAAATGCCGGGGGGGGTTGGAAATGCTGTTGTGTAATTGAGGCTTACGGGGGGGGGAAAGGCTTGTGCCCGGCATCACGTGTGCCGGAGTGGGATTTCGGCTTCGGCGGGGATCGCAGGCTCCCTGCCTTCAAAAACCCATCCAAAAAGCCCCCGGGCATCCCCAGGTGCGCTGGTTCTGAGCCCAGCCTCTGCAGCAGCCCCAGGCTGCGCTGGCGGTCACTTTGGGTGAGGGATGGAGGCAGAAATTGAGAGTTTGAGGCGATAGTACCGAACCAGGGCTCGACCTTTTACCATGTAGCAGGGGATGTAAACAAGGAATTCATCTTTAAATTCTCCGTCGGGGCTGGGGTGCGCCTGTTTTTCCTCCCGAGTTTTAAAATTAGAAAAAAAAAAAAAAAAAAAAAAAAAAAAAAAAGCCATTTAACCGGCCCAGAAATAAATACTGATTTATTTTACATCGCTCTGTGTTCAGCTGGCTCCAAGTTTTCTACTCCCAAGTTTCTTCCGATTATTGAGATCTAATTTAAACTGGTGTCTTTTTATGCCCAGCTCAAAAAAATATACCCTGCTAATTTATATTAATATCTCCAGTTTGAGGGACTGTGCCTTGACTCGGTAGATTATAGATTTTATTTTTGTAATGTGATTTTTGGCAGGGGACGGAGCCTCACGTGGTTGTGTTTATTCCCCCCACTCCGTCTTTAAATTTGTAGAAAATCCAATTTTTATGGTGGGGGTTGAGTGTCGGAGAGATGCTGAGATTTCAGGGAGCGAAATGGTAAAAATCCCCCAGTTGCTGAAAGGAATTTGGGGTGATTGGTTTGGAGAAGCCGAGCTGGGCTGGCTCTCATCCCTCGGCATTCCTGCGTCACGGGGATGTGAGGAGGTGCCGGTGCCCGGCGTTCCCCCCGTGCCCGACTTCACCTGGAACGCTGAATTTTCACATGCAAATCCAATACACATCTACGCCATCAACAGATTTATATCCGTATAAATGCATGTGGATAAGGAGCTGGCTGGAAAACCCCCGGGACATCTGGCCATGGGAAGTAGGGAAGGGAATTCCTCGAGGGGAGGTGCTGGCAGAGGGGTTGTTGCTGTTTCTCCGAAGGCAGGAATTAAATGTGACAGTGAAGGAGCCTGAATCCTGCCCAGCCCATCGATTCACCTCCCACGGGTTTCAAATCAGCCCTTCTGCTGCCACCCCAATGCTCTAGGAAGTATCCCACAGCCTCACAATTTTTTTATTTTATTTTTTTTTTACCCTTGTATATGTTAGATTGTGCTTTGGGGAATTAAAGAAAAAAAATCACTTTATATTTTAACCAACATTTTCAATTTTTAAATTCTTTTAAAATTGATTTTAAACTCAGCAGGAGCAGGGAGTACTTTTATTTGCTTGAAGCAATCCCACTCCAAGAGTATTTTACTTTTCGAGCGTGGCCGTGGGGGAAGCAACAGCATCTTCCTCCTTAAAGATTGGTTGTGTATTCCTAAAATCTTAAAAAATCATGTTAATGGAAAAGAAAGGTAAAAAAAGCAAGAACATACAAAGTTATATAAAGAACGAGCATTTTAGAAAAATAAAAATGTGAAAATGGGAGGTAAAACTCAGCTAACCCAGTGCTGACTTTTAGACAAGAATTGTATTAATATGAGGAGTTTAAAAAGTAGCAGAGCTCCTCTTTATTGTCCCCAAACCAGTCAAATTTGGGGGGTTTTGGTTGTGAAGGTGCCTTTTAATTTGTGCTTGTGCCATAAGTGTCAGAAACGAGAAAGGAAAGCACGAGGGAGATGTGAAGAGCAGTGATGGGAGCCTGGAAATCACTGTAATATTAAATGATTATCTGCAAATCCCTTATTCTGTCTAAAACTCGGGTGGTTTTGTCCCAGATAAAGGTGGCTGGAGCCTGCCCGAGTGCCTTTGCTGGGGCTGATTTTGTGGCACTTTCTCCTGTTTCGGAAAGAATGACCTTGAAATAATTATCTTTTGAGTATCAATTCGGTTCTCGTCTCTGTGTGGTTTTGCTTTATTGGTTGTTTACTTATTTCCCTGTGTTTTTCAACCCAGAAATTTTGGTGATGTTAAAGCTCGGGATAAATATCCAGGCCCTTTGTTTTTCCTCTGGACACCCCATCTTTGCTTTCCTTATCAATAATTGCTTGTCGTTAGTGAACTCCTTAATTAGTAGAGAGGAATTCCTGTTGCTTTGGCAGAAAAAGCCCCTGGAACCTCCCCACGTGTGTCTGGAAATGGTCATGGGGAGCAGAAAATTGAATTTGGGGTGCTAGAAGTGGGGCTGCTCTCAGTCCTAATCCTGTATCCTTAAATAGATATTTAAAAACTTTTAATATGCTACATATTGATACAAATTAATAATGTGTAGTGGTGTGTTTAGAGTATTTAGCGTCTTTTATGTAGACATAAATAAAAGATACTACATGTATAAAAACACTATTTAAAAGGTACATATATATATTTTATAAGTCTAAAAATATACTTCTAATACATATTTTTCTATGAGATATATGGACTGCATGAGCACTAAAGTTCAAACCCAAACTATTCTATGATTCTATATTTATGTATGTTTACATTAAACATTCATATAAAGATATTAAATTACATAAAATACACAAAATATTCCTATATAATATATAAAATTTTAGAGGACGTATTTATGTACAAAGAGGGACTTTATATATATATATATA